TTGTTTCTTATGAGTTTTATTATTACTTGTTTTTCTTTTTTTTTTTTCTTTATTAGTTGTGTTATATATATATTTAAGTGTGTCGGCGTGTCTGTTTAGCTGTATAGACTTTTTAAATGGTTTATGGGTTGATGGTTGTTGAGGGAGGAAGGAAATGGATGGTAAGTTAGTTTATTTTTTTTTCTGCTAGGGCCAAAGGGAGGGGGGGGGGGGGGGGGGGGGGGGGGGGGGGGGGGAGTACGGTGGTCTTGGGTGATTAAAGGGTATAAAGACTTTAAGGATTGTTCTTTTTGGACAAAAACTTCTCTAGTCTCCCTCGCAGCCGTTTTGTCTCGTCATACAACGCTCCTCCCCAACTTCAGCGTTACATGACGAGACAAAAACGGCTGCGAAGGAGACCACAACTTCCCTTGATATTATCGTCTATATCGCCCCTAAACACTTAAGTGTACAAATGGGTGACACTCTCACTGTGAAGGGGAGGGGAGGGGGGGCTTTAATGGGAAACGGTTATCCCCTACAATGCGAGTTTTATCACCTCTCGAAGTGCGCCTTTCGTGTCGACTAAATTACCTATCTTTATTGTCTTTGCAGCAAACTTCTTGGAGGTAAGCAGCCATTTAATTCGCTTTTATTTGACTTTTCTTTCATTGTTTTTGACGAATAACGTCAATAGACGTAATCAATATGATGCTCTTTAACAGGAGGAATAGAGAGCATGTCAATAACGGAAGTTTTTGGAGGTATGTCAACTTACAGACATTCCAGTATCACCACAACATTACTACAACATTTGGCACTCTCTAGCTTCTCAAAACGTATTGGAGTACTTTGGAAACTGGAAACTGATGTTTATTTTCTTTTTTTTCCTTCCGAAGAATTTAGAACTGGCAAAACGCAGCTGTCACACACTCTATGCGGTGAGTTAAGTGAAATTGTCTCTACACTGAAAATATCTCATTTTGTTATTTACTAATCATTCTAATCCAAACCAGAAGCCGAAAGATTGCTGATCGGCTCCTGACTAAGTATACACGAATTCCTCCCTCCTCCCTTTGAGAGTTTTCTTTCTGTGGCCAAACAATGTGAGGTGTGCATATGATATTGACTGCCATTTGTATCTTTTTTTTGAATGTACCTCTTTTTCATACAATTCAACAGTTACAGCGCAGCTGCCTGGAGCCAATGGATATACGGGTGGAAAAGTGATCTTTATTGATACAGAGGTACTTTCTACTAAAATCACGACTTTAATCATACTTTAAACTACTAGGTCTTCCAACGCTAGTTGATGCCGAATTTCGTAGCAACAGCAACTAACATGCTCATTTTCAAACTTTTTTCAGAATACTTTGTATCCTTTTGAAAAATTAAAAAACTGTTTCGATGATACATAGCAAGCTATGTTAGATTTGATAATCCATTCGAGTATTTAAAAAGGAATGTATCAGTCAGTTAAAGAGAAGGAAAACGGTGCGCAGAAATGAACTTTCCACTTGATCTCTCACGAAATTATCTACGACTTCAAAGGAGACCCGAGGAATGATTCTTTGATTATAAATGAAAAAGAACCCTTACAGTTCATTTATTCAGTTTAGACATGTCAAATATCTCATTCAACCTGTTTATTCAAAAATTTCTAGTCTCGCAATAGATTCGCTAACATCATCAAGATATTGATATCCGTACTCTTCGTATAAAGGAAGATTAAATACAGGTTATTTCTTCTGATAAAATATCATTTTCCTTGGATAAGAATTTCCTATTATTTACTGAAGTTAATAGAATTTAGGTCAGCAGTTCGAGTTTGTAGCAAGTCTGCAGATTCCTTAACTCGTAGCAGCCGTCCCGATCGCCTTCGTGAGATCGCAGACAGATTTAACTTGGACCAAAACGCGATGCTGGATAACGTGCTCTACTGCAGGGCCTACACAAGTATGTTTAAGCACGTACTACAAGCTAATTTATATTTAAATTTATATTTCTAATTATCAGAGGTGGTAATGTACCTTTTTAATTACTGCTTATCCATGTCACCATTCTAAGATGCAGTTATACCTTTGGCAGGTGAGCATCAGTATGAGTTGATGGATTGTGTGGCTGCCAAGTTTCATGAGGAACCTGGAGTGTTCAAACTTATGGTTTGTATGCAGCCATCAACTGAATACAGTTTTCAACTGCGCCCTGAAAATGCAGGCAATTGGAAGGACTGAAGCCTTTGCATATTTTTGACATCAAAGCAAGAAGTCTCAGTTATAGATGTTATGTAATGTACTGATCGTTGGCCAGAAACAAAAGCGAACAGCGTTCTCCTGAGGGGCCCCCGGGGCGTCGGAGAGATGAGGGGGTTCCATTGTAGAGGTGGCAGAAATCATTGTTTTGCTAACATCTATCTTTGTGTAATCGACAGATCATTGATTCGATAATGGCACTCTTCAGAGTGGATTTTTGCGGAAGAGGAGAACTAGCTGACAGACAGCAAAAACTTGCGCAGATGTTATCACGACTGCAGAAACTATCGGAGGGTGAGATAGTTGAAAAACCTGGTCATTTATGTCACAATCATAAAAGAGCTAGTTTCTAGAGATAAAGTCGCAGTGGAAACATCTTATACAGTAAAACGCATTTCTTAAATACGGTTCTCCTGCCGGAGTGATTACATTTCTTTTTGTTTTCTTTTTTATGTATACAGAATTCAACGTTGCTGTTTTTATAACCAACCAGGTATGTTCACATGAACTCACGCATTCATTATTTAGACATACCTTAAATTGCCTGTTATTAAAAAAAGATGATGACCTTTTATGGCCGTGACGTTAGACAATTGTAAGGTTTAGCATGGGCATGTCATGGCCGTGGGATGAGTGGGACCAGAGCCCAGTGAAACTAACCCAAGACCTTCCCACACACTTGCTAATAGATGTACTAAGAAAATAAGTTATACTTTACAGTAAACTTCTGATACCATAAGATTTTCATTATCCAAAGATGTCTTATCCATTTTACCAAAAATTGTTCTTTGCAGATGACAGCAGATCCAGGAGGTGTGTATTGCCTTCTTTATAATCATGGCTAATGACGGAACTCTATTCTCTCGTACTCCTTATACTCTAATTGTATTGTAATATTATTCTAATACTAATATGTACTTCTCTTTGTTATTATTGTCTCTTAACTGAATGATGTGGATGGTTCAACAATCAGCCACAATGAGGTAAGGTTAGAATTAAAAACTGATTGTACTTACAGTGCAGTGAAGCAAATGGACAAAGCCAAGTGTCCGCATTAAAGAGACAGGAATTTGGAATCTTCATGACCAAGATTACTGTCTGTAATAACAACGTGTGTTGGACAGAGCTGTCCTTAAAAAGTGGTTCGTCGTTTGTGAGTTGACAAAATACGGAACAAACTTTCTCTCTTTACTCTACAAATTATACGATTTAAACAAAGGGGCAAGAATTGCCAATAGATCTGCATGAACATGGAGTTCTGATTATTATAAAACGAAAAGTTTGACTAAGCTCTTTAACTTCCATTATCTGGTAGTCGAGTTAGTATCCAGTACAAGATATAGTTGTACTCAAAACAAACTTCTTTTTCCTGGTTAGCTTTCAAGCTGACCCCAAGAAACCCATTGGTGGACACATACTGGCTCATGCATCTACAACTCGTATTAGTTTGAGAAAAGGTAGAGGCGAGACAAGGATTGCCAAGATATATGACAGGTGTGTTAATTTGCCACTATAAAATTGTTCCAAAAAAATTCCTTGTTTTTTAGTCTATTTAGGGTTTTAATAACGCACTACTGAGAACTAATCATGGTAACAAAACTTTTAACCCTTTTTGCAGTCCTGATCTCCCAGAAAATGAAGCCACATTTGCAGTAACAACAGGAGGAATTGCAGATGCTAAGGAGTAACTACCGATTGTAATCAACACAATGATTCACCTAAACGAATACTATTTTAATTCATTATTTGGCAATGAAATTGTATTGTTTGATGAAGACGTACATATAGAATTTGAATACAAGTTTATGAATAAAAGATCTTCATGAAGTATTCTTTGTGAAGTTTGGATTCCCCTTTATGTCTCCTCCTTCCAAGACTCTGGAAATATTTTGTATAGCTTGTTCTATTACTTTCTAAGATCTTCTAACCTTTGACGAATTAGCTGGCTACTTAGCTTTTTTAATATTATCGCTTGGTTAAGTATAATTGTCAACATTATATTTTTAAACCATTTTATGGCAGGATCATAAATAAACATTCAGATATCAATAAATATTTATCATTGTGCAAGAAATCCTCCATCAACAGGTAATATGGTTCCATTTACCATGCTAGCTTTGTCACTCAAGAGGTAAACAATGGCATGTACAACTTCTTCCACTTCTGCAAAAAGGATAGGATATAACTATAAATAACAAACTCCGATAATGTAAAAACTATTTTTGCCAAAAAGGTTTTTCTCTAAATTTTTATTTCAAGTTTTACCTGCAAATCTTCCAAGCGGGATTTGGTCAAGCATTGGCTTTGCTTTGGCAGGATCTGACCACCCTAACCTTCCCATATCTGTCAACACAACAGTTGGGTTGACAGCATTTACTCTTATCTGCAAGGAAAGCAACTTCTCTTTCATAATGTAACTTAATTTAATTTCTTTGAATTACTGTTAAAAATAAATGAGTGACATTTGTATTCAAGAAAACATAAATAATCATTAAACAAGTTAAAAACAAAGGTGCTTAATTTACATTTTACTTTTGCTTTGGGTGGGCAACAAAAAGGACCCTGAAGTCAAGAAACTAATAAAACCAAACACTGGCAGCATTATTTTTATCTTTCTACTAAATGGAGTGCACACAGTACTGTAGTGTACATCTGGGACTTACCTATCTAGAGCAGGAAGTCTGGAGTCATGTGACTTGACAGCCAATGTATTCATGTTCATGAGAGTGTAGCAGTGAGCTAAGCAGTGCTCGAGTTTATGGCCTCAGCGGCCTGTTAGAAATATTACAAGTACTCAGGTCATTTCTTAACTGAGTAGTAACTCAAAACATTACTCACTTGATGAGGACCCAGTTCTAAAGCCAAGGATTTTGTAAGCATATCAACGGCTGCCTTTGTAGAACCTGAGGCAATCATAAATAAAAGCTTAAAACAAAGTTGATCCCATAGTTCTACAAAAGAAAGCATGGAAGGGGACAAGGTGTATAGCTATACATGGGCTATGAATTCTGGGTTCAAATTATTGTAGAATTAAAGAAAAGTTTCTTCCAGCTACTTACAGTACAAAATGTGGTTCTTTAAAGCCTTTTTGGAGGCTTGACTGGAAACATTAACTATTGCCCCTCCAAAACCACTAGCAATCATCTTTTTAGCCACAACCTAGTAACATAACGAGGAAGTTTTGTTAAAATGGGTCCAAAGTCATTGATAGAACTATAAAATTGAAAAACAGCACAGTAACTAAAGTGGCACCAGTAACTTCAAGAAGCCAAGCAGAGAGTATATAACATATAATGTGAGTCCTACCTGCGCAATGAACAAAGGAGCCTTTACATTGACTGAAAATATCCTATAAGAAACATAGGACACTCAGGTGTGCGAGGAAAGTAGTGTCCAATAGCCCGGGGCTAGTCGATTTTGCTATCGGGCTAGTGAATTCTGTTCTTTATTTTACCAACAAGCAAGTGAAGTTTTTGGGGAATTCAAATTACAGAAGAACTGTAATCAATCCAGCTAATCAAAACAAATTTTACTTTTTTTTCTGCCATATGAATCCTTACTGAAATATCACCATAAGTGTCAATTCATGCCAAATGTAAGGAATACATCATGCTGCCAATTAAAATTGTCAGGGTGATTTCTTCTCACTTCCAAACAGCATCACCAGGCATTCTTCTGGTCGTATGAATGAGGTAAAATTGTGAAGAAGATAATGACTTGGTTGCAGTAATAGGGTGGTGGTATTATTGAGGTTGTAGAAATATGAGGAAATGACTGGAATTTTGTCCAGGCTAACAAAAATGGTCATAAAAATGAAGTACGCATGGTTGCAAGACTGGGTTACACTGTAGCTAATCCCAATGTTTATAGAAGTGCAAATTTACTCTATGAATGCTTGAAGCTAACTGGAGACAAAAGCAAATGTTCTCCCGTTTCAAATAATATTGTAAGGGTGCATAAGTCAAAGGAGCTCAGAGTATAAGCAGTAATAAATATTGTCATCTATTATCTTAAATCACTCATTAAGTTTGAAAATATTTAAAGAAATTGATAGAGGACTACAGTCTACATACTTGTCAAAATCCTCTGGCTTTGCCTCTTCAAAGGGTCCAAGTATGGCAATTCCTGCATTGTTCACAAGAAGATGAATGTCCCCGATACTCTCTACTGTCTTCAATGTAGCTTCAATGTCACACAGGTCAATACAAACAGTCTGAATTGCAGGTTCCTTTAATAATCAAACAGTCATGGTCAAACCTTGTGATACAAACAGGCAAGAGTGCAGACGGGAAATTTTTGTATCCTTTGGGAGGAGTCCATGACATGAAAATGCTGTCCATGATAGAAATAGGGTGGAGTCAAGATATCATGGGGCTTGGTTTTTACTAGAGCTTAAGAGTCTGCCAAAGTAAATCATGGTGTTGTGTAAATAGTCTGTAGAGCTTTGTAGCCAATGTATTTCTGTGGGTGCTCTGAAGTTAAGTCAAACCTCTAATTGAGTGTCCCTCTTTTAATTAATTGGTCACACCAAGCAGTCACTAACCAAATTCCCAAAATTTGCTTCCTACATTTACTGTAAATTTGACCTCTGTTTCAAACTCATTAGATATTATCAAACCCAAACACACCGAAGGATAATAATAATATCAGACCATGGCTTCAACTAAACATAAAACGCAAAACTAAAGCAACTCATGTTATTTCTTGCTTTTACCCAACCTCTTTTTTCAAGCTGTCCAAGTCTTCTTGTGTCCGGGATAAGGCTATCACCTCAGCCCCACACTTCACTAACATCTTAGCAGTACTGCGACCTATCCCTGTATATAGACAAAACTGAGTTGTTTCTTTGTGTCCTCTCACTTAAATTTCCGTGCCTTTTTTTAAAAGGCAAAATCACAGACTCATTTATTAGACGACCCACTGGAGACGAGTGAAAAAAAAATGGCGCGCGCATCGAACATAGTATTATTTATCAGTTATACAGCAAAAACAAGAGAAATACGTTACCTTTTCCCGCACCAGTGACTAAGGCACGCTTCCCCCCGAACTTTATATCCATATGTATGGTTTACAGCACAATTTCGTGCGACAATCCTGAACCCTCCTTGTCTAAGCTCGATTTCCGTCGCTCTCTCCACTCCAGAACCAGAGTCTAGTCTCCCACGGCCATTTTGTGTCGTCACGCAACCCTAGAGTGACACGTGAGATTAATCTCAGCACGGCAGACTCGTCCCGTTTTATCCCTCCAGTTAAATTAAGAATGCAAAATACAGGCAAAGGCTTGGATGAGACCACCTTACGAAGAACGTCTGCGTGGAAGGGTATTAGGGAGCTTTAAGCAACGACCATGGCGACGTCAACGAGAACGGCAATAACGCAATAGGTATAGATTGGCAAAATAATAACTCTGCACCTGCATCACGCTTTTTTGTACATTTCTTTGCCGTCGTTGCACGACTACAACGTGAAAGTGCCTAATTTCACGTTTTGTCGCGAACGGGAACAGGAGGCAACAACTTTCCTTTTCTTTTCCTGAACTTTGATACAGAAACACAGAAACAATTTGCCAACATTTGACGACTTAAACGAGATAGAATAAGCGCGGGAAAGTTGAAGCAGCGCAAATTCACTTTTTATGTGATGTTTTCGTAGCCGTCGACGTCGTCGTTGCTTAAGCTCCCTGTTGGAGCTGGTTGTTTACGGCAATGGGTTCTCATAAGGGGGGCTTATAAGCGGCCCAATCTCGGGAAAAGCGCCTTGGGGACGAGGTTGATAAACGGCCGTGTCATAAATTCATCGAGAGTGGTCGCTTTCGAAAGCTTTTTTATACCGGGGCTTTTAGCAAAAAGCTTGGCGTATGTTAGCTCCGCACTGAGGGAAAAAGAAGAAAAAGAATCGGCGAGCGAAGCGAGCCGAGCGGTAGTCCGGGAAAGTTTTTTTTGCCGTTTGACCCCGTTTTGGACCTTTTTCCCCCTGGCAGAGCCTGGTCCCAGGCTAGGCACATGTTGATGATTTCCTATGCATTAAGCTAAATTATGAATTGACACATTCCAAGGTTATCAACCATCATACAAGAAAGAAAGGGTCAGTCCTGTCTCGTCCACAGGCTTTCTTTGTTCGGGTCAAAGACGTGGGCGGAGAGCGAGTGCGTGCAGAATGAAAGCACAACCTCTTTCTCATGCAGATTTCCCCTATCATGGCGTGGCCACTTGGTCACTCTCCCACTCCGGGAGGCGAGTGGAGGAAAACCTATAATTAACCAAATTTTCCCCAAAATAGGCGATCCCTAGAGACCGGCCAGGAACGAGGCAGAAAGACCCTGAGGTTATTTGCCTGAGGGGCATTTTCGAGACGGTGTGAAGCCTCATTGGTGCCGTGAACACAGGGGATCTTGACTATGAATACTTTTATAACTAGGCAGCACTCTTCAAATATACGCTTATTCAAAAGTTATCTTTAGACTTTTATTGAACCTAACTATTCAAGTTGATATGGCATCAGTGCGTACAGATATTTTCCACAGTTCCGGTTACCAAAAAAAAAAAATCAATATTGCATATTTGATATTATGGCGACGAAGAAGTTATATTGCTGCATGATACTTAGATCGGCTAGAGTGAACAGCTTTCTTTTTACTTCACATAAAATTTTTTTATGGTAGTTATCCACACCTTTGGTTTTACCCAATACGTACTTTGTTGTTAGTTTTGGCTGGCAACTTAAACGTAATTATAGGGCAACGATATTGATCATCATTTTAAAACAAGCATGAACTTCCTTGAACATATGCACAAAAAGCTTGACGGGTATAAATAGCTCAATTCCTTCCCTCCCCTATAAACTGAAGTTTCCGCTGGTTTTGTCTGTATAAAGCTAGACGAATTGTATGTCTTCTGAAAGTTTAAGGAAACTTTGAAGTTTCTCAAACTGGAATACATCCAATGTCTATTAAAGTCGAAAGTAAAAACACTGAAAACTTAGTTCGTTCCTATGCGATCCTCAGCAGACCATGACAATGAACAACTAAAAACACTTAAGAAATTATCATTTGCGTTCAAGGAAACTTACGTATTTTAGGGAACTGTGCCATATTGACTTTGCTTCTCACAAGTATTAACATATCAGCTAGTATGAGTCATGCATTCTTTGATCATCGCCCATAACGAGCGAGTCAGAGTCGAACGCGAGAGCATCTAAATCGGCATGAAAGCCAAAAAGGGGAAAAAGGTTGACGAATTAGTCACCCTTTTTTCTGAACTTCGAGAGAAGTCGATAAAAGCCGGCGAGAAGGTCGAAAACATCCGATGGGAGTTCTTGCGGGAAGTCTATAACGTGCCTGGAGAGAAAAAATTAACCAGTTCTAGTTCAATCAGTTTGAACAAGGTTATTTGGTTCATTCTTTTGCCTGTTGTCGTTGTATTCTTGGGTTTGTCTTTCGTCGACTTAGACAGCACTTCCCCATGTCTCATTGATACTGAAATGGTGTTTTGGAATGAGATTACGCGGAAACCCAGTGAATGTTCAAAGATGTGCGTAGACGTGGAAGAGGTACCTCGAGTTTCGAACCTTTCCAAGAAAGAGTTCATTGCCAACTACGCTTACAATGGTCACCCTGTGGTTATCACGGACGCCGCGCAAAATTGGTCTGCTGTGGGGAAATTCAGTTTCAATTTTTTCAAGCGTCTCTACGCCAACAACATGGAAGCCGCTGAAAACTTTGATTATGATCAGGGCTGCATATTTTTCGCTTACAATTCGGGTTTTGAAAATTTGGCTCAAGTACTTAGAATGCCAAAGAAGAGGGCTGAGTGGAGAGGAAAGCCATGGTACATTGGCTGGTAAGTTTCACTGTTTCTAAGTTCTTCTGAGATAACAGCAAAAACCAACAAGTAAAAAACTTGTTTTCAAGAACCATTTAAGTTAAAATTTGTCAGTTAGGTTATCGCTCGCTCTATACAAAAACCTGTTTAGCCTAAATTCGAATTTTCTAAAATCTACAAAAAAATTCTGTACACTTGGAAGAAGGACTTCAACATCCATGTGGTCCGTATTTCAGTTCTTCTTGGCAGTAGTCATTTTCACAGAAATATGAATTTGGTACGGATTTTATATAAGAAATTGATAAGCTGAATACCACTAAATACTCTTCGCTACGATGTATTTTTTTCTTCAGAAAATAAGAATCTATTTAAAGATCTAAACAACCTACTGCTTGTGCTAATTATCGTTTACGTGAGAATCTTTTTAGGCTAACTTAGGAAAATGCAGGCCCTTATATTCGAGGGTTTTATCCGGAAGTCATAATCAAGAGCGAGGTAGGTGTGAGGCCTTGGCTGATAACACCATACGGAGACCTTGATTATTTCGGGTATAACAAAAAAAGACTCTAATAGTTGTCTTTAGACATTTTGCTCAAGAAAATGAATAACACGTTTTTATATGCATGTTGATACTGAGTACAGCTTAAGTTTAGAAAAAAAGAAAGAAAAACAGAAAGAAAGAGAGAAAATGCAGCTTGGATCGAAATCAAGCACTGCACACCTTTTAACAATTTAAAAATTTTACCTTTATCATGGCCATAAGTTGGACGGAAATTTCGCTCGCGGAGGCGATATCGTAAGACACGCTTAAGAAAGTTTAAGTTTTTCCCTAGTTGCCCTCGGGGGTTGACTAGGGTATACATTTTACTAAATGCCAAATACAACTCAGGAATTTGAGTGAAATGGAAAACATTTCTTCTCACTAAGAGGCCATTTGATATTTTACTAGTCCGATTCGCATGGACGTGAAAGAGAATTTTATCGGTAAGTATATTGAAGTGAAGTGATGGTAAGTAAGGTGAAGCTGCCAATCGGCGTTTGACCATGAATGGTCTCTCACTCAACTGATCACTCTTTAAGAAACGAGAGTCTCTAATCGATCCTCCACTTGTTTTGTGCAACGGAAATATTTCGTTATTTAAATTTAATACTTTGTATGCACCCAACGTAGGTAACCATGAAAAATGCATCAACCCGCACTACAGAGTCCATCAAAAGTTGTAAAAATAAGTTGTGGACATCAGCAACATCAGTCATATATTGAATTTAATTTCAAGTCAATACAGAAAAGTTTCTGACGTTAAGAAATATTTCATCTACCCACGTCGCAAAATGCAAAGAGTCAGATCATGAGGACTTGACCAATATTACCACGCTTTCAACTATATAAATAGACTGGAAAAACAATACACTCAACAGTCAACTCTGTCTTAATGCACGCATGGTTCAATTTGACCTGTTGTCACCCCCCCCCCCCCGGACACCCCCGGGCATGCGGAAGGAGACAATTCCCCACCCCGAGCTCCTGATCGATCTCATATACGTTTGTTTAGGTACATCTTTTTGAAAGCGATATCCATACAATAACAAACGAGATGTTTTCACAACTTTTNTTCAGCCTGGCTTTAATAATAGGAAAACTTAAATAGAGTGCATATGAAAACGGATACAAGGCTTTGACAGAGATTCAGTCCAGAGTGTTCTTATAAAAGTGTTCTATCAAGGAGATGCTTAACAGCTTTTTTCTTTCTTTTTCGGTTTCAAATTTATTGTTCATGTTTTAACTACATTATGGCATGTATTATCCTTCTCACAATAAACTGTAGAAAACGTTTATAAAAGTTGTGAAAACATCTCGTTTGTTATTGTATGGATATCGCTTTCAAAAAGATGTACCTAAACAAACGTATATGAGATCGATCAGGAGCTCGGGGTGGGGAATTGTCTCCTTCCGCATGCCCGGGGGTGGGAAATAGACTCACCAGGAAAGAAAAAAAATGCAAATCCCCAGTGGTACGCTAGAGTAGGGGGGGTGGGCGCGGCATGGTTGCAGGTCAAATTGAACCATGCATAACGGACACCCCGCTAAAACGGACACCTAGAGTTGTTCCCTGCCTTTCTTTACCCCTTTTAGTTGACTCCCTATAAGACGGACATCTCTCTATAAGATGGACACATAGTGCGGGTCCCATGAAGAGGTGTCCGTCATAGAGACAGTTGACTGGGGATTATCTATATACAAGCAAGCTGTCATGCTTTATTGTTTGACCTGCT